CAGTAGAGTTCAATACGAGGATCGCTCTATCCTAGAGTGCGTGTACAATATTTCGGTTGAGAAAGGAATTACTTTTATCGCGCACAAGATGATATTAATAAGCAAACAGCTACATGTGTGAAAAAAATACACAAATCCAAGCAGCCCTTCCAACACGGGGAAAAATTACAGAAGTGTCAGCGCATGTAGTTTTTCGTTTACATACTGTTCTCGCGGTATGCAACGTGTCAAGTGGGGACATTTCACAAGATCACTAAAGGAAACAGAAATGACTGAAAAGAGGTAAAATCGAGTGACCATTGAGAAAACTGATTTTAAGAAAACAATTCAGCCGAGAAAGAAAAAAACTGGGATCAATGAAGCAGGTTTGCATGAATAACAGAAGCGGTGAACAGTTAAGACATTAATCAGCAAGTATAATTAACCCGGTTAACAATATCCGATCTCACAGACGCATCGAAGGATTGAGAGACAGATACCTGACATGTTTCGATTATTTGCAACGAATCGATGCAACTTCATTGGAGAATGTGCATGGCATGGCACCGCAGACGAACCTAAACGGATAACTGTTGTCGATGTGAATCTTTTCTCGTTGCACGCAGTTAATAGTTCCTAGAATCAAAGTATAAGCAGATATCATCAATCTTAATCAGCGTTAAAATTAATAGCCAATAAAGCCAAAGATGATGATAACAAACAAGTATATTCAAAACCTGAATAATATAGCAAATTATATTCATTTACAAGACACTCTTGCCCCTTAACACCACTGCGTTTTCACTGTTTCGGTATAAGCCGGCCAAGCGGTTCTACTGTGATGATTTATCACCGGACTTGAAGATCTGATAACACAAACAATATCACACAAGAGGCATTACTATCGAGGAACAGTATTCTATCACAACACTGTACGCGACGTGCAATACAAATTTTGAGATATTTAGAATAACTGCAAACTCAGTAGGGCAGATAGGGTTTAGATCGCCTCGTAAAGCCGTATCAGTGTCATTATGCTGTACCGGAAGATTACAAGGGAAATCCGACAATCAAACAATTGAGAATATGAGATGCTGGGAAATATGATAAAACAAACTAACAAATTGACCAACTATGAGGAAACTTGAATTCCAAATATTACAAACGCTCGATAAATCCTCAGGAACATTTACCTGCTAAAACGGATCGAAGCAAAAGAACAGCATAACTACGAAATATTTAATTCTGCTATTAAAATAGAAAGGTATCATTTGATGGAAAAAAAATCGAGACAAAAACCGAAACCACGTTGGAACAAAAAGCAGATATATCAAATCCCTAAACAAAACAAAAAACTACAGAAATAGAGCCTCACTACCAAAATCAGGCAACAATAGAGTAACCGGTCTGTTGTTGAAAAAGAGAAATAAGTCAGTAAAAATGGAATCCCGCAAACGACAAAAACAGCGTGACAATCGACCATGAGTGGCTGCGTACCCTCGCTGAACCACAAATTTTAAATCAGCCGTTGTGTTCCGCCGCTGGCATTTCGTGAAGGCAACGAATATTCCGTAGTAGACGAAATGAGGAAGCCGATCGGAACTCAACTGTAAAACGTCAACACAGACTGCTGGTTGCCACGCAGGTA